GATCTTTGAACTCGGGCGGTTGATTTTAACCTTTTGAAACCTCATTGTGCAGGCAATATCGGTTAAAGGACTTAAAAGAAGTCTGCAAACAGATTACATTTTGAAGGTAGTTTCTTTCTCTGATACAGTTCAGATTTCTAGTCCTTGATTAGCTTCTTAATCATGTCTTGTACTACATTTCCAGATCCTGGGGCTTGACATTTGTGCAGAAACATTGGTTGGCAATGCAATGAAAAGAGGCATATCCGGGGGACAAAAGAAGCGCCTTACTACAGGTTGGTTCATAGCTAAGAAAGAATCCTGTAAAACCAGTCATCTTTTTGTTGGCATGGCAAGTTTTCTAAAAAAGCGGTGTTTGCAGCTGAAATGATCGTTGGTCCAACAAAAGCTCTGTTCATGGATGAAATAACAAACGGCTTAGACAGTTCCACAGCGTTTCAGATTGTCAAATCTCTTCAGCAACTCTCTCACATTACCAACGCAACTGTGTTTGTTTCCCTTCTACAACCTGCTCCAGAATCATATGACCTCTTCGACGATATTGTGCTCATGGCTGAAGGAAAAATTGTGTACCACGGTCCACGCGAAGAGGTCTTGGAATTCTTCGAAGAATGTGGATTTCAATGCCCAAAAAGGAAAGGTGTTGCAGACTTTCTCCAGGAGGTAAAAAGCTAAAAACTCAATTCCTTGACATTGAAATTCTGATCCCATGGTCCTAACTTGTTTATTGGTTTGTAGGTTATATCTAAAAAGGACCAAGGACAGTACTGGCTGCACCAGGACATACCCCATAGCTTTGTCTCAGTAGACACATTGTCAAAGAAATTTAAGGACTTAGAGATTGGGAAAAAGATTGAGGAATCCCTCTCTAAGCCATATGATAAATCAAAAACTCTCAAGGATAATGCTCTCTCCTTCAATGTGTATTCACTTCCAAAGTGGGAACTATTTAGAACATGCATCTCAAGAGAGTTTCTTCTCATGAAGAGAAACTATTTCGTCTACCTCTTCAAGACGTTTCAGGTTACATTCTTTCTTTCTGCAGATATCTCTCTCCTTTTGTCTTCTTTCAAGATTCTATTGGTAAATTCTGAAGAGTCCTTGTTGCACAGCTTGTTCTAGCCGCAATCATCACCATGACAGTGTTTATTCGAACAGAGATGGACATAGATATCGTTCATGGAAATTCTTACATGAGTTGTCTCTTTTTTGCAACTGTTATACTTCTGGTTGATGGTATTCCAGAGCTGTCTATGACTGTTCAACGCCTTTCCGTGTTCTACAAGCAGAAGCAACTGTGTTTCTATCCAGCTTGGGCTTATTCAATCCCTGCAACAGTGTTAAAGGTCCCTCTCTCCTTGTTAGAATCTCTCGTCTGGACCAGTCTTACTTACTATGTCATCGGATACACTCCTGAAGCTTACCGGTGAGAGTTGGAAACCCTCTCTCTTACTTTCTCCCTAGTCACATCCAAGCCTGAGAATGACAGAAAAATGTAATGTAATGATCTTTTGATGTTGCAGGTTCTTCCGGCAATTCATTCTGCTCTTTGCTGTTCACTTCACATCGATATCCATGTTCCGATGCATAGCTTCAATCTTTCAAACAGGAGTTGCTACAATGACAGCTGGTAGCTTTGTCATGTTAATCACCTTTGTATTTGCCGGTTTTGCCATCCCATATAGTAAGATTTTTTTGCTCTTTTCTTTTTAATCCTGTTCCAAGGCTCCACTAAAACATGACATTGGTTTGGTGCAGCCGATATGCCGGGGTGGCTGAAGTGGGGTTTCTGGGTAAATCCTATAAGTTACGCCGAGATTGGGCTCTCTGTAAACGAGTTTCTTGCTCCGCGGTGGCAGCAAGTGATTCTCTCTTCCCTTACTTGTTTCTCTTAATCATCCAATATCTCTTCATTCTACAAGAATTAATCGGTTTTCGGGTTATGTTTGTAGATGCAACCCACAAATGTCACCTTGGGGAGAACCATACTCGAAAGCCGAGGACTGAACTATGATGATTACATGTACTGGGTCTCACTATGTGCCTTGTTGGGTCTCACTATTATCTTCAACACCATTTTCACTCTAGCTCTGAGTTTCTTGAAATGTAAGATTCCAAATATTGAAAACATGCCACTGACAAAAGCAAATACTAAAGAGAGCTTCTTTAACACTTGACAGCTCCCACATCATCTCGTGCCATGATTTCTCAAGATAAGCTCTCTGAGCTGCAAGGAACCAAAGATTCATCATCAGTCAAGAAGAACAAGCCACTAGATTCGCCAATGAAGACAATCGAGGATTCAGGTCTTTCTTTCTACTCACACAAACTCTTTCTTCTCCATTTCCCTTAACCTAATTACGCCTTTGCCGATCAACAGGGAAGATGATCTTACCTTATAAGCCCCTGACCATAACATTTCAAGACTTGAACTATTACGTCGACGTACCTGTGGTAAAAGCTTCTCTTCATTCTTGGTTACTAATTTACCATTTTCGACTGCAAAGTATAATCCATGGGTATTTGCTAATCTCAGGAGATGAAAGCTCAAGGGTACAATGAGAAGAAGTTGCAGCTTCTTTCAGAAATCACCGGATCTTTCAGGCCCGGTGTTCTAACGGCGTTGATGGGAATCAGTGGAGCTGGAAAAACCACTTTACTCGACGTTCTAGCCGGAAGAAAAACAAGCGGATACATTGAAGGAGAGATTAGAATCAGCGGTTACCTTAAAGTCCAAGAAACATTCGCAAGAGTGTCAGGCTACTGTGAACAAACGGATATACACTCACCAAACATCACAGTCGAAGAATCCCTAATTTACTCAGCTTGGCTCCGTCTAGTTCCAGAAATCGATCCTCAAACCAAAATCGTAAGCCCTAATTCTACAGAGCATCAAAACTGTGACCTAGAAATCGAAATAAAGAAATCACTTGGAAATTCGTGCAGAGATTTGTGAAGCAAGTTCTGGAGACGATAGAGCTTGAGGAGATCAAAGATTCGTTGGTAGGAGTGGCCGGTGTGAGCGGATTATCGACAGAGCAGAGGAAGCGGTTAACAGTAGCTGTGGAGTTAGTGGCGAATCCGTCGATCATATTCATGGACGAGCCAACAACGGGGCTGGACGCAAGAGCAGCCGCCATTGTAATGAGAGCTGTGAAAAACGTTGCTGAGACTGGACGAACAATTGTCTGCACTATTCATCAGCCTAGCATCCACATCTTTGAAGCCTTCGACGAGGTTCGAATTTCGAAATTTTATAGTCTCTATAACGAATTTGTCTATAAATATATATACTTTTCATATCATAATGGTTTATGTTCAGTTGATTCTTCTGAAGAGAGGCGGTCGTATTATTTACAGTGGACCACTTGGACAACATTCATCTTGTGTCATTGAGTATTTTAAGGTTAGCTTTTTGCACAAGTAATAAAAATAAATTAGCTGGGTTTGATTGTTTCATAAGTAACCTATATAAAATATATTTTTTTGTTGGTGGTGAATAACAGAATATTCCTGGAGTTGCTAAGATTAGAGACAAGTACAATCCAGCAACATGGATGCTAGAGGTGACTTCAGAGTCTGTAGAGATTGAACTCGACATGGATTTCGCAAAAATCTACAACGAATCGGATCTTTACAAGTGAGTAGTAGAGTAGATGTCATTTATGGCCAGATTTGTATTTGCTTTAGGACATGACTAATGAGCTCCTGTGTTGTTGTTTCTATAGGAACAACTCCGAGCTTGTTAAAGAGCTGAGCAAACCGGATCACGGGTCAAGTGATTTGCATTTCAAGAGAACTTTTGCGCAGAACTGGTGGGAACAGTTTAAATCTTGTCTATGGAAGATGAGTTTGTCTTACTGGAGAAGCCCAACTTACAACTTGACGCGAATCGGTCACACTTTCATCTCTTCTTTAATCTTTGGTCTACTCTTCTGGAATCAAGGGAAAAAGATGTAAGTTACCTAAAACTCCCTCCGAATCATTTCGAGTTTCATTGTACTTTCGTAGTAATTCTGTTGTTTTTGCAGAGATACGCAACAGAATTTGTTTACAGTTCTCGGGGCGATTTATGGTCTAGTCCTCTTCGTTGGGATAAACAACTGCACTTCAGCTTTGCAGTATTTTGAGACAGAGCGTAATGTTATGTACCGCGAAAGATTTGCGGGAATGTACTCTGCGTTTGCCTATGCATTGGCTCAAGTTGTGACTGAAATACCTTACATATTCATCCAAAGCGCAGAGTTTGTAATTGTAATATATCCTATGATCGGTCTCTACGCATCTTCCTCTAAAGTCTTTTGGAGTCTCTATGCAATGTTCTGCAACTTACTCTGCTTCAACTACCTCGCGATGTTCCTCATCTCCATCACTCCAAACTTCATGGTCGCAGCTATTCTCCAGTCGCTTTTCTTCATGACATTCAACCTTTTCGCCGGATTCTTGATCCCAAAACCGGTAAGATCTTTTGAACAAGTCATCATCATCATCATCTTTGATCTTTTCGTTATTACATACTTAATAGTGTTTTCTTGATGTCGAAAAATGCAGCAAATCCCAAAGTGGTGGGTCTGGTTTTACTATCTAACCCCGACCTCATGGACGCTCAACCTGTTTTTCTCGTCTCAATATGGTGATATTCATCAAGAGATCAATGCATTTGGAGAAACCACGACGGTTGCGAGATTCTTAGAGGACTATTTCGGATTCCATCATGATCATTTGACGATTACAGCCATTATTCTCATTGCATTTCCAATTGCATTGGCTACTATGTATGCTTTCTTTGTTGCCAAACTCAACTTTCAAAAACGATGATCAATCAAATTCACACATACCAACACGAGCTTTTCCTTATACATGGTCAAACACTTGTATAACCACGAACCACAAGAAAAGATATATCAAATGTTTTAATTATGAATTCTATTGAGTTAATTGTAAAATGTACTTAGAAGCTTCAAGATCTTTAGCAACAAGATCTTTAGAAACACTGATTGTTTAGCAATAAGTTCTCTGAAACCACAAGAGAGACAATGCAATAAGATCTTTAACAGCTTCAAGATCATAAGAAACACTGATTGTTTCGTTTTTCATGAATCTGGAAAAGTGTTTTAAGACTCTATAAACACCTCTAGATGTTGCAGAGAACTCATTGGAAGGTGCATGTGAGGCTACCAAGGTTTGAAAAATTACCTAAATGTTTTGCAGTTATAAATGACTCTTTGTCGGTTAGCGTCTTGTCTCCGGATTTAAAAGATCTTCGGATTTGCTTTCTTTTGATGGAGATTTGGATTCAGATGATGCATTACTAGTATTATCAACATTTGATTCATCCGTTTGCTTTGCCTGTCAACTTAAAAGCATTACATTAGTAATCAAGCTCAGTTCAAGAAAATACAGTTAAAGAGAGAAAAGTTTGATTCCAAGCGCAATGGCGGTAAGTACTTCACCTTGTTCCTGTCGCGCCAGCCAAGCCCAAATGATAGGAAGCCTGTCTTCTTTTTAGGGCTCTCCTGTGTAGTACGAGTAAACCTATACAACGTGAAGTAAGAAACAAGATAAGAATTATCTTGACTTGAGAAGCAGTATCTGGATACTAATTATGACACTAAGGATGTTATATAGAAAGATAAGAGAGCTTTGTGGTTTGCCATACTAAATCCAAAACATATGTAAGGGTAATGCAAGATTCTGTTTTTGGTATATTGGTAAGTTTTGGAGAAATCTATACAGATCAAAAGCAGCCAAAGAAAAGAATAGGAGATGAGTTCTGATAATGTACCTTGGAGATGATGATAGTGCTTTATTTTGACCTGATTCATATTGCAAAGTTGCTTCGAGTGTTGTTTCTGCTGTAACTAGTTTCTTCTCCATTTGAGCGAGTTGAGTCACAAGCTTCTCATTCTTTTCCTGTTTGTTTTCACAAAGAATCATCAAACTAAGATCAAAGATTCTGTATCTCTGCTTGGAAGCTTTATCTTTATGTAAAATATCTTAGAAGATACAAAGTAAGAAGATGACCAAAGCACCTGAAGCACATGTACTTCATATCTTTGTGCAGCTGCATCTTGCTCTGCACTTATCCGGGCATCTTCTGTTAGCTTTTGGTCTTGCTCAACTTTCATCAAGACCTGAAACCATCCGAACCGAAACTATATGGCTTAATAATCTAGCAAAAACCGATAATGCAGAACTTTGCATTTGTGTAAAAAAACGAAGACCTGAAGCATTGCTGTTTCTTGTTCTTTCTTATCAGAAAGGACTTGCTTTAGTTCTCTTACTTCCCTTTCCAGTTGTTCAATCTGTAAAACAATCTATGAGCCTTCCTCTATAGCTAATAACTTTGTTTGAAGGTAGTCTAAATATACCCGTGCACTTAATTCCAATCTGTTATCTTCTTTGACCATCTCCATCAAAGCTATCTCCAGCTCCTCAGCTCTGTAGAGAGTAATAAATAACATATACATTAGAATCAGTTCTTAAGTTCTCATGATTTGAGAAATTGAATGTGAAGTAGAATAACATTAACCTCATTACAGCTGATCTTTTCTCCTCCAACAATCTACATAGTTCAACCTTCATCCATACCACCTGCACAATAACTGTTATCGATGAAACTTAAAGGGAGTTGCATATTCCACATACTTCATCAACTACACAAGAACTTTGTTGATAGAAGAACATGGTTCTCTGTTATTTTTATCCCCAAAAACTTGAAAAAAAGAGTAAGTCACCTGCTCTTGAAGATCTGGTAAAGAATCTACTTCAGAATCAACATTAGCACCATCCAGATTCAGAGAAGGCGAACAAGATTCATCATCATCATCTGGATCCTCACCATCATTTCTTTGAGTAGACTTTTGTTCATGATCTAAGATAGAGCCTTCATGTTTGAAGCTATATAACTTAGAAGCCAATCCTTTTTTATCCTTCCAGACTCGACCTTTTTGTATTCTTTCCTCGACAATCTCTAGTACCGCCGGTCTATGTATTTTTCTCAGCTCCTCTAGTCTAGCTTCATTTGTCGATATATAACCCATGCATGCGGTCAAAACAAGTTGACTACTGTCAAATGTTGAACTAGCAAGACTTTGTAGTGAAGTAATAGCATCTCCTGCATCTTTTGTGGCAACAATTGCAGGACCTAAGGAAATATAGATTTGACTAAATATCTGTTTCCTTCAAACACAGAGCTAATTAAATCATCATCACACACTTGATACATACAAAAGTATCAGCAAATACCATATAGTTCCATTATAGCAAACGCTGTTCGGAACAACACTACACGGTTTCCTTCAAAGAGAAGCACATCCCACATCCGCAGAACTGGAACTCAAAAACATCATGATGAAATACAACTTCAGCTAAGAAAAGAAAAGGAAAATAAAGACTTCCTATGTCGAACGTGACATATGAACTCACCGCATTCCCAAGGAATAATGTTCACAAAAATAGATAGGAACCATGGTCCAGAGATCCATGCAACCTGCACTCCCAAGTAATCCAGATGATTAACTGCATCAGGAGGATTATTGGAATAGAAGAAACGATCACATTGCTCTGTATAAGTTGGAAAATCCAAATATATGAAGAGAAACTTGAATATCAGATGGAAAAAACTAACCGAGCTTTGGAAATCTTTCTCGCATCAACTCTTCAAAGACTAGTTGATCAACCTAAGAGAAGTAGATTCACGATGGTCACTTTCTAGAAAGGTTTTAAGAAAACATAATCAGAAGCGTTTTAGTGGAACTGTTACCTGAGATTCTATCATCTCTTCTGTATAGTAGCCATCAAAATAATCATCAATAATCCCAACCAAAGTCCTGAGAAATTTTCAGTAACACAAAAATCGCTCACACCAATGCATGCCATGATTCAAAGACAGAGAAAAAAAGCTTTTATCAACTCTACCAAAATGCATTTTCCTCTGGCATCAACAGAAGCAACAGTCCAGCAAAAAAGTTCATAGCCTGAAATTTTACAGGATCATTGTTAAACTTAGCCTTGAAACAATTGTAACAACTAATAATGAATTAAAGATGCTATATATTATGGTACTTAAATATGTTTTTTCAAGCCCAAGTCACCTGACAGTATCCAACAGATGGGTTGTGACAAGCATAAGCTAGAAGTATCCGCCTTAACGAATCGCGACCATTTTCATTCAGAGCAGGGTGGCCTGGGAATGTCCGAGGTATATCCTGTATAGTGATCATGATTGCAATAAGAAAACTTTCCACATTCAAAAGACTTGAGTGACCAAAGTCCAACATGCATTTATCTAATATATCAAAACCTTTTCAATTTGTTTTTTCCACTTTCTTTGGACATCAGAGGAGCTTTCATCAGAGTTAGTTATCTGAGCCAACAAATCCTGATAGTATCTCTCAACTCTTCTTGCCTTTACACCTACAAAGGCTTGCCAAACCTGTGAAATGCAAAAGTTAGACAAGCAAAGTAAACTTCTTTGGGCCAACAATTAATCCTGATAGTGTAAACTTTACCTCCCCTCTGAGATCCTTTGGCACTCCCAAACGAACAAGTACCTCAAGTTCTTCATACCAAGGGAAAAATGGCTCTGGAGAAACACTACCCTGTTCTTCCTTCATCGAATGGGATCTACTCGTGGAAGTCTCACTATCACGGTCATTTTCTCCAGAGTTTTGTTCAGATTCTTCAATGGAAGGCAGCGATTCTTTTCTCGGTGAAATATGGTCACCTACTATAGTCTTCTGATTATTTTTCATATACTTTACGTTCTTAACACGAGCGCACATCATATCCTCTATGGACCCTAGACAAGGTCTAATATGAGCCCATTCTATAACTGAACGAGCCTTGGTTTCTTTTTCTGCTTTATCATGTCCCGATTCACATTTATCTTCTTCTGCCACAAGATGTACATGATCCACAGGTTCTTTTACTGCTTGAGATTGTTGTTCTTTATCAGATTCACTTTCACTTTCGACTGATGATTCTTTATCCTTGTCAGATTCAAATTTCTCTTCATCCTCGTCTTTTACAGGTTCTGTGTCTCTTCTAAGACTCTTCTCCCTCAAATATTGGTGCTCGTCAAGAACCTGCGCCTCCTCGGCTGCTTCTTTCTCTTTTGAAACATCACCAGCTGTTTCAGTCCTATCTTGTTCAAGATGCTGCAGTACTCTTGTACCACTAAGTTCACAATCTTCATGTTTCCCGTTTCTTGAACCCTCCTCTGAATCACTCTCCTCTCCAGATTCCAAACCATCAGCCTGGAATGAATCCTGAAACTCCTCTTCTGAGGAACAAGGTTCAGCGGCTCTGTTTTCTTGTCGGTCAAGAAAGTTTTTCCATTTCTCTGCCCTCTCTGTCTCTTCTTCCTATTCCAGTCGTATTCAAATTTAGTAACACAAACATATGCCCCCAATACATTTGATTTGATACACAAAAGCAATTTTTGGACATGACATACTCTAATAATGAAACCATAGATATATGACTACTAATTATCTGAGTAAGCAAATGAAGCATCAAGCGCAAGAAGAACTCACTGTATAGATGCTAAGGTATTCTTGATATCTCTGAACGTGTTGAGGTCTCAAGGCAAATCCATAAGCGTCCCTGCAAATCAAAATTCACAAATAATGTTATGATCTTAATTAATCACAAAATTACGAAATGATTAGAGAAATAGAGTTTACCTGGAATCAACCTCCAGTGAGCGCTTGCTCACCAAAGATAACAACATATTTCACAAAGAAACCTATTTCTAATTCCCATTGCTTTACTTTACATTACTACACTCGCAAAACTCAAATCCATACACACAGCTTAATGATAAGATCAAAAGAAGAAAAGAAAATCTATGATCATCAATTGGTTTGTTTCGTACTGCGATCGAGAAATCGTCAACGAGAGATTACCGATTAATCAGGGGATAGTTAAAATATATTATGGATTAAAAAAATCACCTGTCTCTAAGATAGTTGTGGACGACAAACAAGTGTTGCTCCGTCATGATCGGTCATGCACGACGATCTAATTGTTTGTTTATTTTATTTTCCAACAAAAAAAATTAAAATAAAAATACAGAAAAGAAGCTTCATCGTTTCATTTCATAACGTTAATTCTATCATTTAATTTGAAGAAGAAAAACAAAATCTGTCTGCTTCTTACAAAAAAAAAAAACTCAAAATCTGACAATAATTAAGACCAGAGATATTGAATCTAATTTTATCCACGTGGCATTTTATTATTGGATTACTAATTATGTTGGTAAGTCCATCTACACATTACGTGGACAATGTAAACAAGAAAATTCGAACATAATGTAAATCTATAACCAAATAAAAAATTATTATTTGAACTCATCAGATATATAATCTGTTCCTAACAAAATTAGAACAAATGAATGGGAAACAAAGCTTAATAAAAAATGGTGTTCGAAATTGCAATGAAAAAATATATACTGCTTCCTTTGTTCGGTCTATATTACTAATTTCCAAGAAACGTCACTTTCGTTCTTTGAGAACAAAAAACACAAGAAGAAAGAGACACACATGACATACATCGTCTACGCATCTCTCTCTCTCTCTTCGATCTTGGCCTTCTCTGTTCTTGTTATTGTTCATTGGTATCTTCAATACCATCAATCACCTCTATCGAGCTCATACTTGGACTATTGATAAACAAAACTAGTATATACTATAGTATTAGTAACATCATAATCACTATGAGAGAAACGGTTGTGATCAAATGTTGTTTAGGGGATGAGAAATGGACATTCTTGAGTCTTCAAATCTTAAGTTGCATCTGAGTACCAAGAAAACTCATTACCAGCCTGTGATTCTTCTTCATGACTTGAGGTTGAAGCAACATCTTTGAGCTTTGATTTTGAATCAGCTTCTTCCATGGAAGCAACATTTCCAGTTGCATGATCAGTTTTCTCTTCATCCACGGCTCCATTTTCATGAGTTTCTTCTTCTTCTTCCTTGGATGCTGAAGTGCAAACCGATGATATACAAGAAACTTCAGATGAATTTGATCCCTCCGAACTGCGTGACCCTTTAATGGATTCAAGTTTTTTCATCAGAAACTTTAGTCTCTTCTCTGCTTTTTCCCTTAATCTTATCTCTTCTTTTAGATTACGTTCCAACTCTTCCATCTGTTTCCAAGAGATTAAAGCTTGTCTTTGAGAAATAAATCAGCTTTTTACCAAATCCAGATCAAAACTAACAACTTTAAAAACAACACCTTTTTGGTCCAAGAAACGAGAACAGAGTAATTAGTGATACTCTCTTGATAGACACGTAACAAGAAAGACTCATTCTTGATTCTTGATCAAACCCAGATATTCTTAAACAAGAATGAAACTTAGGATTTAATCAAAGTTACCTTTCTTGTAATAAGCTCTGCTTCTTCTTTTGCAGATCTTGAAACTTGCCTCTCTGCAAGTAGTCTCCCTCTTAGACACTCCACAGTTCTCAGACCTTCTTCCTTTTCTTCTTCTTCCATCTTCTTACTTGTAGAACTTGTTCTTAACCAAAAAGAGAGACAAAAACAATTCCTCAATCTCTATATTAAAGTTGTTAAATCACACAATAACATATACATGTATCTATAAAAAGAGAGAGTGAGAGAGAAAGAGAAGCCCCACCTGCATTTTGTGTTGCAATTAGAGGGATCAATGGTCATACTCATACTGTTTTTTTCATTCAACAAACAAAACCAAATTGGTAAAATCTTAAACTTCAACTTCACAACTAACTGCAAAAAAAAGACCAATGTGTTGTTAGATCATGTCATTTAATGTTCATTCAATAAGGAACATATCAACATCATACTTTAAAATCAACTTACCACAGAAGAAAATTCAAAATATTTCCAAGTTCAAATACAAAAACAGATCCAGATTCAAATCCCTTGAGTCTTGAAAGAGGAGGGAAATGTACCTAAAAACCCCAAAAAAAATTGAAGTTGTGTTTGAAAAACAAAAAACAGAATCTGTCGTGTAGGGACAATAAATAAGTTGATTTGTAAGCAAAACGACAGTGTGTGCTTTGGACTTTTGTTGCCTGCAGCTCCCGTGAGTTGGTAAATCTCCCACTTCAAAACCTTTTTTTAAAATAAAAACAATAATCAATTCACTGGTATTGTAAATTTTTACTGCATATTTTCTTATATTATCTTACATGACAAATATGCATGTGTACCAGAGGAACCATCCTGATTATTAATCCATTATGTTCTTTGACGTTAATTCCAAAGGAAAAATCATTATTATAGTCGTTACTGTTTTGTGATACGATTCTAGTTTTACCAAGTGTTTACAAAACTCTTTGTCAAACATATTTAATCCAAAAATAGATTTATTTGCCTTTGCTTTGAAAGAAACTTTTTATCGGTTGCATTTATATGTGTATGTGTACTTATTTATATGTTCTGCTTCTTGTGTTGTGCGGCATTGCACTATTGGTGAATGTGAAATAATCAAAAACAAAATAAGTTTGACGGTTTTGTAAATGAATAAAATTAAGGAGATGAGGAAAATCTTGTGACCCTCCATAGATCTGAAAAATGAGCAACCATTAGTGGTCACACAGAAAATTAATGCTCCCAACCTCTCACTATATTTTTTACTTTACAATTTTTTATTTTCTTCGAAATTAGATTAGCAACACGCAAAGAAAAATTGAGTGATTAGTGATATTGAGCTCGCGTGTACTTTACTCTGAGACCAAAATTAACTACATAAACCTCATTAATCAAAATACTGCTTACTTTGTGAATAAAACTAATGAAACATATAAAACTAACATTCTTATTCTTATTAGCAACCCCACCACTTCAATCAATATCACTTCATTACTCTCAAGTTAAAGCTTGGGGTTGCTGCTTGCTTCTATCAACCATTCAACGTCATGTTCAATCACATTCACAACAGCAAAAAAAAAGGAAAACAAAATCATTAAATTGCAACTCTTTGAAAAGCTCCACAAAAAACAAATCATCACAGTAACTCCTTGAGAAGTCCATGGCAAGAAAATGCATAAGCTTCATCAAGCTCTTGTTTCATGATATACTCTTTGTCGCTCATTGACTCAACCAAACCCTCTATTATATCATACATCTCTTTGCTTCTCTCACACGAACTGTCTTTCGCTATGAAACTACGTAATCCTTTATTAGTTTCGATCCAGCTGGTGCCGGGGATTTTCTTCAATCCGATTCTTTTCATCTTATCCCTAACAACTTCAGCTTCTTCCCACCTCCCTGCTTGAGTGTACAAATTCGCCATGATAGTGTAGTTCCCTGTATTTTCGGGTTCCATTTCAAACAAGCGATCACAAGCGAACCTAGCGATCTCCACATCACCGAGAACAGAAGCCCCGTTCAACAATGCGCCCCAAACTTTAGCAATTGGTTCAATTGGCATCTTAGAAATGAATTCCATTGCATTCGAAAGTTTTCCAGCCCGGCTAAGAACACTAACCATACAAGCATAGTGCTCCACTCCAGGCTCAATGTTATACTTAGTTAACATAGAATCAAATATATGTTGCGCCTTATCCGAATCCCCCGAGTGCGCAAAAGCTGAAAGAACAGCTGTTAGTGTGACATTGTCTGGCTTAGTTCCAAGACACTGCATTTGGTCAAAAAGACTACAAGCAGAATCAGAGTCTCCATGAACAGCATATGCTGTTATAATTGCGGTCCAAACAATCAAGCTCCTGTCTTTACAGTTATCAAAAACCCTTTGAGCTCCTAGCAGAAATCCTAATTTGGCATAGTTATCTATAATGGAGGTGGTGACATATATATTGTTGTCAGAGCCGTTACGGATGGCAAAAGCGTGGATTTCCTTACCCCCTTTCAGATTTGAACTATATGTCAACGACGGAAGAAGGCTCGAAAGGGTCACCGTGTTTGGCCTAGAGCCACATCTTATCATCTCCCTAAATGAGTTTATAACCTCCTCATGATGGTTATTCTGCATAAGACCTGAAATCACAGCATTCCACGTACTCAGACCAATGCTTTCCATTTCACTAAATAAAGCCATTGCTTCCTTGACAAGACCATGAGCCATATATCCAGAAATTATAGCTCCGTATGTAACCGAATCTTTCTCACTCATCTCATCAAACAAAGCTCTTGCATAATCCAAGCTACCACATTTAGCATAAAAACCAATCACAGCGTTACACAGGGATAAATCCATCTGAATATGATTCTCGATCATCTTCTTGTGAACTTCCATCCCGAAAACAAGATCGCTTGACTGTCCGCAGGCCTGCAAGACGCTTATCACAGTGACTTCGTTAGGCTTAAAATCTGAGCAACCTAACATCGCTTTATACAACTTCTTACAATCCTCAAAAGACCCACTTTGAGAATACCCGGAAATCATAGAGTTCCACGAAACAACATCTCTGTCAGACATTTCATCAAACACTTTCCTCGCAGACTCGATGTTATCACACTTTGTATAGTACGTGATCAGTCCATTGCCCACGAAGACATCGGAATCAGACCCACCTCGTATAACAAACCCATGAACTTGCCGAGCCAATGAACCCAACCAGAAATCATCACAACCTGAGAGTGCCTTCAACACACAAGAGATGCTAATAGAATCTGGTCTGGCAGCACCGGAAGAGTAACAAGAGGACCCAATCCAGGACAAGAACAAAGAAAAAGCATCAAAATACATTTCACGCGACGTATACGCGATGAGAAGTGCGTTGTAAGAGAAGGCATTTCTAACGGTAATTTCGTCGAACACATGGAGTGCTTGGTGGAAGCGATTCTGCCTAGTGTAAAAACTGATGAGCTTTGAAGCGAGGAAGTTGTCAGGCGCGATGGAGAAGACGACAATGCGCGCGTGAAGCTGAAGCGCGTGGAGAGGAAGTCGGTGACGGGTGAAGTGCTGGATGAGGTGACCATACGCGCCGCCGTCGACCGCCGCTTTGTTTAGCAAGCCTTGCAAGGCTCGTTGAATTTCGAATCCCAACTTCATTCATATCTAACCAAAAGCTAAACCGGAGAAATTAAACAGTATGGATATATAGGCAAGTTAATGGGCTTATTAGTGGGCCTTAATAAGCCCGTAGTGTCGCTTTATTACAGAGCGAGGGAGTACTGAAATCGATTTTGAGTTTCATGTCTTGTCTGAGTAATTATTATTGTCGAGCTGTCAGGTATATTCAATCTCGGTCTTGCTACAGTCGATCACTGAATCGTGATATAGCTAACGAATCATCTGAAGTTGAGAGACGAGCTCGTTCTCTGAGAGTTCTAGATATCATATCTTCGAAATCTGGTGGAGTTTCGAATCGACAGAATCATTTTGGTTTCGTTCAGGAATTTCTACAAACAGATTCGAGGCAATTTAGAGGTCAAGCAATTTCCGAGGATTTTGATCTCTCAAGAACCAAAAATGGAGTTTCAAGCGTGCTCGAAGAAGTTATGCTGGAGGATTCTTCAAGCTCTGTCAAGCGAGATGGATGGAGTTTCGATGCTTATGGTTTATCATCCGCCGTGAGATCCTGTGGGTCGAATCGAGACTTTAGAACCGGTTCGGGGTTTCATTGCTTAGCATTGAAAGGTGGGTTTATCTCAGATGTCTACTTAGGAAGTTCCCTGGTCGTTTTGTACCGAGATTCTGGTGAAGTAGAGAATGCACATAAAGTGTTTGCTGAAATGCCTGACAATAACGTGGTTTCATGGACGGCTATGATTTCAGGGTTTGCGCAAGAATGGCGAGTTGATATCTGCATGAAGCTGTATTCAGAGATGAGAAATTCAACCTCTGATCCGAATGATTATACTTTCACGGCTCTCTTGAGCGCTTGCACGGGAAGCGGAGCCCTAGGGCAAGGAAGAAGCGTTCATTGTCAGACTCTCCAAATGGGATTGAAGTCGTATCTTCATATCTCAAACTCTCTCATCTCGATGTACTGCAAATGTGGCGATTTGAAGGATGCTTTTCGTATCTTTGACCAGTTTTCAAACAAAGACGTTGTTTCCTGGAACTCTATGATTGCTGGTTACGCGCAGTACGGCCTTGCAACGCAAGCAATCGAGCTCTTTGAATTAATGATGCCCAAAAGCGGAATAAAGCCTGATGCAATCACATATCTAGGACTTCTGTCATCGTGCAGACACGCAGGTCTTGTAATAGAAGGAAGAAAGTTCTTCAACTTGATGGCAGAACGCGGCCTGAAACCAGAACTCAACCACTACTCTTGTCTGGTCGATCTTCTTGGCAGATTTGGTCTGTTGCAAGAAGCCCTGGAACTGATAGAGAACATGCCAATGAAACCAAACTCAGTCATATGGGGATCCCTGCTTTTTTCTTGCCGTGTGCACGGCGATGTCTGGATGGGAATCAGAGCTGCAGAGGAACGGTTGATTCTTGAACCTGAATGTGCAGCCACACATGTCCAGCTGGCGAATCTTTACGCCAGTGTCGGCTACTGGAAAGAGGCGGCGACAGTGAGGAAACTGATGAAAGATAAAGGACTGAGGACGAATCCAGGTTGTAGTTGGATCGAGATCGATAATAATATTTTTATGTTTAAAGCTGAAGATGGTAGCAACTGTAGAATGCTAGAGATTGTTCATGTTCTTCATTGTCTAATTGATCACATGGAGTTCCTCTAATACGACGCCGTATATGTGTTTTCTCATTAGTTTTATAGTGTATACCAGATCCATATCTTTTATAAATGGATCCATTTTTGCTTTTGAACGTTTTCACTTTTTCAACAATACTTTAGTACTAGTGAAAGACTTTAAATTATTATAGTTAAGTAATGAACACACATTAATTTATTAATCAACCAGGTAATCAGATGAATTTAGCTGTATAATGCGGTAAAATGCACCAAGAGTTCTCTCCATCTAAAACCTTCTCAACTCTTTGACTTTGTTCTATATGACGTATTTTCCTCAATTTTGAACTATAATAATGTTAAGTTAAAAAACACACGCCTTCAAAATTTTCTTTGGTTTATAATTAAAATTTTAAGGTACAAGTTTGCACGATTAATTTTTTGAGTGAGGATTAGAACTCTAAAACTGAGATAATTACACAAAATTCGTAATAAAGGAATCGAATCTAGGAAAGTGTCTACTGTTTCCAACTGGTCCTCTCTTATATACCCTTCTCCACTACTACCGCACTCAGAAGACGACGACAAAACAAAAGTTGCGATAGACAGAGAGATGGATCTGTATTGGGAAGATTTTTTCAAGGATTACGAATGGCTCATCGTGTTTCTGAAAGGCATGGTGAAGCCCGCGGCGGCGCTCGTGGTGGTGCTTTTGGCGGTGGTTCTTTCCTACTCGCAGAACCTCTCTTTGGAAGGAGAAATGATCTACTCTGTTTTCCGATCGTTTCTTCAACTCTCTGTTATCGGATTTGTTCTTCAATTCATCTTTAACCAAGAAAACTCCGGCTGGATCGTCCTTGCTTATCTCTTCATGGTCAGTTTCAATCAAATTCAGGATCGGCTCTGCCTTTTTTATATTCTAAATGGTTTGGTTTCCGTACAGGTATCTGTCGCCGGTTACACTGCCGGACAACGTGCAAAGCACGTGCCACGTGGAAAGTACGTGGCCGGATTATCGATCCTTGCCGGGACTTCAATCACAATGATTTTGCTCGTCGTCCTCAACGTCTTTCCTTTCACTCCGAGGTATATGATCCCAATCGCCGGAATGTTGGTCGGAAACGCCATGACGGTCACCGGAGTTACCATGAAACAGCTTCGAGATGACATCAAAATGCAACTCAACCTGGTATAAAAAAACTCCTTTACAAACTTTAACCAAACCAAATTCCCGGTTTAATTAGATTTCCGGTTTAATTGATTTTGTCATGAACCGTAGGTGGAGACGGCATTGGCACTAGGCGCAACGCCAAGACAAGCGACGTTGCAACAGGTGAAGAGAGCATTGGTGATCTCTCTATCTCCGGTTTTGGATAGCTGCAAAACTGTTGGATTGATCTCTCTACCAGGCGCGATGACCGGTATGATAATGGGTGGTGCGTCGCCTCTTGAAGCTATTCAGCTTCAGATTGTAGTCATGAACATGATGGTTGGAGCAGCAACAGTTAGTAGCATCACGTCTACGTATCTTTGTTGGCCATCTTTCTTCACTAAAGCTTACCAGTTACAAACTCATGTCTTCTCCTCAAATTGAAACTTTTATAAATCCTTTTAACAATCTTTGAAAACTTGTCCGAAACAAAAAACGCCACAACATTATGTCTTAAATAGAAAAACTCTTGATAACATGCAACTTAAAAGGGTCTAAAGCAAACACACTTAAAGAGGAAGTATCTAGCAGTCGATCCAATAGTACACATGCTACAATGCCTGCAACCTGAGAGGCCATGAGGCATCAAAGTTAAGGGGACTCGCTTCCTCTAGGGGAAGCACGGTTTGGCTCGTAATCATCATCAATAGGGCTCTGGTCCTCTTTCAGGCTGTCACCGCCGGCTCCTACAACAGGACTGACAACAGAGTTTCTGCCATTTCCATTGTCTTGGGGGCTACCACCGTCACGGTCTGATCCGTCTTCCTTTTGAAGCTTTGGTGATGGTGGCGGGCTCCCGTCTATGATCTTTGGGCTGCCTTCATCATCAAGAACCGGACTACGATCTCTGACTCTTGGCGATAGAGAGTCATCCATTCGCTTAGGACTGCGTGATCTCTCCTCCACACTCCTCTCTCTTCTTCTCACCGGGGATCGTGATCGGCTGACCATAAGGAAAATAAGAAGTAAATCAGAGTGCTAAACAATTTAAACGAGACACAAAGCTAGAGAAAGCAGTTACTCAGGTTCATGCATAAATCTAATGCATGTAAGCATCTAAACATAAACCAAAACACTGAATATTATAAGGGAAAATACTAACCTGTAGCTTCGGCTTCGGCTAAGACTCTGGCTTGGGATTCTTCTACGACGAGGAGAACGGGATCTTACAGGTGACCTGGAGTAGCTTCCACTCCGCCTACCATACAATCCAGAAAGTGATATAAGAAACTGGAAAGAATAACAAAAATATGCATTTCTGAAAGAAATGTTAGTACCTAAGCTTCTTGGGGCTGTTTTTGCAGTTTCTCTCAATGTGTCCTCTCTCTCCACAACGGTAACACTTGTTCTTCCAGTCCCCTGCCGTGCAGTCCCGAGCCCAATGACCGTCAACACCACAGTTAAAACAGCGACCAGCTCCAGGAGGTGGGCCTCTGCTATCATAATCTCGAGAACCACGAGGTGCCTATTGTACAAACATAAAGTTTGGTAAACACATACAACCATACATATAAAAAATGATAGAGCCTGAAAATAGAGAGCCAAACAACTCACCCCTCTTGAAAACTCCACAGTGATGCGACTTCCATCAAAGTCTCGCCCGTCCAAGTAATGTCTCGCATCATCAGCATCACGGGGATCACCAAATTCCTGATTTCAAAAGAGTGAGGACAAAAAGCCACATGCATAGTGTGTTTTCCACATTATACATTGGTTACAACTAGAAAAACGTACTACATACTTTTTCAAGCAATCGAAAGCTCAGGTTAAAAGGAGATTTTACTTACAACAAAAGCATAATCTCGCTTCATATCCACATCTCGCACTCTGCGGAAGAAATTGTTGGCAGAAAAGTAAGGCCATCATTACTTTAAGGTACTTCTAAACACCATTTTGAGACTGAGTCTCCATTCCCATCAAAACACATAAAAAAAATCTACAAACAGAATCGCCAAGGCGGCCCCGCCCCCTATACACTTGGCGAGAATTTCCACCAAGTCCACCCATTCATCAAACACCTCCAGGTTAGGCAAAATCCCAGAGACCTTCAATAAGATCATTCAAGTTAAAAACATACACTAAACCTAGATTCACAATCTTCCCTCAAGAACACAAATATCAAAATAAAGAAGCAAAAATATGCCCCTCGATACTTAGTGACAACTTTCTGCATTTGTCCCTCAGACTACAAATTCTCAAAATTTACTAAGATAAATAAAAAAGGCACATGAAGACTCTCATTTAACTAACCCCCAACACATAGAAATCAATCAAAACAAAGAAGCATTATGCCCCCAATACTTTTAGCTTTCTGCATCTCGTTCCTCGCACAATAGCAAACAAATTCTCAGTATCTACGAACATAACTAGAAAAAGCACATTGAGACCCTCATTCCCCAAGACTAGAAATCAATATTCTTCATTCATACTCAGAGATAGAGATATAGACGACTCAGATTACCTTCCGTAATCATAGATAGAGATATAAACTTTCATTCATAATCATAGATAGAGATATAGAAGAGTCAATTACCTTCCGTATCTGCTAAAAAGACGTTCAAGGTCTCGGGTCCTAGTTCTGGATGACAAGCGGCCAACATAAAGACGAGTGTTCCCATAGCGATCATCGTAGCGAGGCATTTTCAAACTACAACAAAAAAGGGACAAAGAAGCCACAAATTTGAGCATAACCTGTTAGAAACTATATAACAAGAAACGTAACAACAATTCACTAACTCAAGACCAATAAGAAGAAGAACAAACGCCCCAAAGAAAGGTAAAACTTCAATCAAACGCCACTCAGCTAATTCAGAGACAAGGAAGCAATTAATCGGAAGGACAGAAGCAATCGGAAACCATCACCGCAGATGCATCGAAATCAATATAAAATTGCAAATCCGAGCTCGTAAAACACTAAAATTCAATCTGAATCATAGAATTGAGCAGATTTTTGATACCTGGGGATTGAAGGAGAACACTGCGAAACCCGGAAGCCCTAATTTCGAAAGGAAAGGGGGAAGAAGAGGAAAGCGTAAGGTAGCAAAAGTCTGGTTTTCAAGAGTTTATAAATGGGCTTTCAGACAGGACCGACTAGATCCAACTGTAGTGATTTGGTGTTGTCTCTTAAACCAAAAGGGGATAAGTATCGATGTGACCGATATTTACCATTTTTGCAATCCGTTGGGCCTAAAATTAAATAAAACCCATTGAATTAGGTGTAAATTGTAAAATAAGATTTTCAGAACCAAGGAGCCAAGGAGGTTTGCAATTTTTGTATCTCTTGGTTATCTTCTTTGTTACACACTCTGATCACATTTGCTCAAGTTTATTTAAAACGGTATCCATACTAAACTATATAATAGTGATGCAAATTCATTATAACAGATTGGATCATCATCTAGTCTTTAAATGTAGCTAAAATACTTACAACATTTAAGATTAACATCTATTTTCTACTTTATGGAATAAAATTTTACCGACTCATGTTATAAACTATTCCCAGATGAACAAATCAAATTCTGCCTATAATGCTATTTTGTTTCTTTTTGTTGTTACAAGAAAAATTAGTTGATATTAGCTTAAAGTTTTTTTTTTTTTTTTTGTCGTCTTGAATAATATTGCAAAAAGGAACAGAGTTGTATGAAAGAAAAACATAGCATAAATCGAAAAACAGAGAAACCCAAAACAGAGGCCGATGACAAAACTAAAATCTACCTCGTCGTTCTTCTTCAATCCGGTTGTGTAACCATGCCGGACCTCCTCGTGCTAGGTAAGATGTAAACCGTCCTTCTCGTGTCACACTACAAGCAATCTCCTTGGCCAAAGAATTGGCTTTCGGTGAAGAGAGGTGAAACTTAACCTCCCGCATCACCCGTATTGCTTGTTGAATTTTGATAATCTGAGAACGGTATTTGGGGTACTCCTCCGGTCGAGCTATTGCGTCCAAAGCTGCTTTACAATCTGACCAGACTCCACAAGACTCTATACGCAAATCTTTCAAACTGCGGATGCACCAAAGAATGATATGTAATTCCGCAGCTATCCGGTTAACTATGGGAAGGAAAGCATCTCGGACATAAAATAAGACATCTCCCAGGTGATTGCGTAGGATCCAAGCTCCACCAACATGATAAAAATCTTTTAGCTTAAAGGTTTAATTTGAGTTTTTTTTTTTTTTTACATTTTACATTTTATTTTCCTAAAGCATTTTCACTATTTTTTATAATAAAATAAAGAAGATATATATATTAAATAGTTCATTTCATAAGGGGATTAAAAATACACATTTAATTAATCGATTAATTATAACAAAGAAATACAAATATATAATTGAAAGGAAAAAAAAATTACAACAAACATTTGCTTTCTTATTTTTTCTTAATTTTCACAACCAAAAAAAAAAAATTGTTTAAATCATCACCTCCGTTTGTTCTTGCTCCCAATCAACAAAGTGAAATAAAACAAAACCCTAAAGAAAAATCCCCAAGCAACAGTAATCCACAAACAATTCCATTTACTCAAATCCGTAATCCCTTGCTGCTTCAATATATCAATCCCCGTCGTCACACACGTCTCCGCCGTCACATTCGTCCCTAAAACACCGCTCATACTCTTCAACAGATTCAACTTCACGTCGTTCGGAAACTCCCCCAACGGCGAATTATCAAAAATCTGAACTCCTCTGACGAAACATTTCGTCGGATCTTCGAATTCGTTCTGCAACACTCCTTCGTAAGGGTATTTCACTAAGGAGATGTAATGGAACCAGAGCCAGTAAACAGGGATTCGATCTCTGGAGATGAAGAATCCGGAGAAGAGGAGGAAGTAAGCGAGGATCGCTACAACGATTGTGAATCCGAGCATTACGTTGGCGACGACGCCGGAGAGGAATGTTACGAAGGAGCTTCCGGCCCAGAATGAGGCGAGGATTGTGAGGAAGAAGAAGAGGAAACCACTTGTGCCTCCGGACAGACCAACGGCCCAGAATGTTGTGGCGGCGAAGCTTGCGGAGAGGAAGATTAAGGCAGGGATTGAGATTATGGATTGAGAGAGGACGTAGGAGGATCTCCGGTAAGCGTTGTAAGCTGTTTCTCTCATGAATATGTAACGTTCTTCTAGAAACACTGGGATTGCTTCTGCACATGTGTAGAATGTTGTTGACATTGCGAATGCGAAGAATCCTAAACGTTCTTGTGCTCCTTTTGGGGAATTGTCTAGGTTAGTGAACATTGTGGCTAGGATGATTCCGGTCACCATTACAGCTCCTAGTCGCATTCCGAGGAGCTCTGGTTGCCTCATTGAGTTTAGTATAGCGCGTTTGCCTATGACGATCATTTCGATCCAGAAAGGATTGGCGAATGTTTGGAATGATGGTGTTAGGTTTGATGAGTTGTTTGTTGCTCCAGAGACGAGTTTCCCTCTGGAGATACTCGCGGTTATCGCTTCTTTGAGAGATGCGTTGTTGTTTTTCTTGTTACCATTGCTATAGCTTGGTGATTGCGCTTGCTTTGCTCGCCATTTCTTGTGGAATTCGACAAGTGGCTTGGTTCCTTCTGCAGAATTTTCCAGCTCTCGGATGAGATCGAGAGCGAACTCTGTTTTGTTCTCGTTTTCAGGAATCGGGTGCTCGAACTCTGAGAAGAACTGAGGGAGATGTGTTGGTGAGCCACTGTAAACCGTGTTTCCCCTAGAAAGGAAGATTAACTGATCTAGCAAACCCATGATTCTGTAACTTGGCTGATGGATTGACATGATAACTATGCTGCCACTCTGTGCGATTCTCTGAAGCACTTTGATAACCATGTAGGCGCTCGTAGAGTCAAGCCCTGAGGTTGGCTCATCGAGAAAGAGGATGATTGGGTCATGGATTATGTCGTTTCCAATTGATACACGTCTCCTTTCTCCTCCAGACACGCCTCTGTGGCCTTCATCACCAATCACGGTTTTTGCAGCGCTCCTTAGGCCCAATTGGTCAATCAGAGCTTGAACCCGTGCTTTCTTCTTCTTCTTGGAGAGTGAACGAGGGAGCCTGAACTCTGCAGAGAACATTAGAGTTTCCTCCACGGTAAGCATCGAGAAGAGAAGGTCGTCTTGCATCACGTAAGCCGATATAACTTTCTGCAGTCTGGATTCAAGAACTTCACCGTTTAAGGTAATGGATCCCCTGAGGCTGTCTTTTGCGATCCGGTTAGCTAATGCATCGATCAGCGTTGATTTACCAGACCCCACTTGCTCCAAGAACCGCCAATCATCTCCCCTTCATGGGCTTCACCTGAAATTCCGTTCAATAGTATCTTAGTGTTCACCGAGGAACCGTTTCGTGACTTCCTGCAGCAAGCGAGGGGATTAAACTTCTTTTGGATCTTCACGCTGTAGGTCAAGTCGTTGAATGAAAGAACAAACGGGGAAGAAGATATAGAAGAAGCAGGAGCAGAGGTCCATGAATTGAAAGAGGATGCAGAAGAAGTGATTGGTGAGGCAATTCCTAGAGCCCGGCTACTTGCACTTTCATCATTCCTTGCATCCTCCACATTCATAAGATGCTCGGCGAATGTGACAGAGACTCTAGGCGTGTCTCTTGGACGACGTTGAGGCTCCATGGACATCGTGTTTACATAAAACAGAGGAAGATCATTGTTGCCGTCTACTCGTTTGGCCGGAGATAATTTTCCCAAGCCAGACATTGTTTCTGTATTTTTGTCTTAATCTTCTCAGGCTATATGAGTTATATAGCTCATACCCACAAAGAAGAAATGAATAGGAGGAATAAGAAGAGAGTATTATAAAGAGATATTTATTTTAATTATAAGAATGAAAGAGATACGAAATGGTCAATATAGTTGGTAATCTCTGTGTATCTAACGATAGCTTTTGGGTTTTGTATGTTTTGATGTAATGTAGAAAACCTAAAAGTAAATGGGTAGGTGAGAGGAAGTTGTACAAAAACCCCTTCTCAATTTTCTTCCTCATTATGTTTATGTCTATTTCTTGGGGCTTAAGGTAGTTTGAAAATTTGCTATTTTCTAGAGTTTTAAGTAATTATTTGGGTTTAGTTACACGGGTCTTAAGGGTTGAGAGTAACGTCCGTGCAAAATTAGATTTAACTGCTAGTGAGCAGCCGTCCAAATCGTGCCAAATCTGCAAACTCGTACCTATCTTATTAAACTAACGATATTAAATTGTCTTAATTTTTTATTCTATTAGTGTAATTTAGTATATCACCACTTCTCCCAAAACTGTCGTATCTTTTTTGACATCCGAAATTTTTCATAAATAATTTTTTTTTTGGAGAATAAGATGGTTGATATATTTTATTGTGAAATACCACAAAATAACATGCTTTTAGGGGATACTTAATTATATTTAGCAAAGAGAAAAAGTCACATTCCTATGTAATTCAGTACATGTCCTCCATAATCAATCGAACCAAAAAAGATGTTCAGAATCAATCACATACTAGATCATGTCCTTAAAAATGTTTTTAAAAAATAGAGGAAAATATTGAATTAAGCAACCAAAAATACAAGTTAAAATTGGATAAACCAAATATAGATCACTCCTCTGATTAGTCATTCTTACTCATAAGTCATAACTAACTGACTATATTAGATAATAAGCAAGCTTTTATGTGTAACATTATCACATAGGTATCCTGTGCAACATGGGCATATAGTAATTAATTAGTAACTAGGAAGTCACTGGAACATAAATGTGGACACGACTTCAATAGTATGAGTGGGCTACACGAAAACCAAAAATCTCACTAACGTGAAATAATAGGCATATAATACCCAGCAGAAATGCATAATATAAGCCTAACGTGGAGAAGTAATCATATAAACGTTTGGTATGGCTGTTATATCTGTTTTTTCAGGACTTTATACTATACGCTTCATTATATATGACCTAAATGATTCTATTTACCCAATCTTACAAGAAATCACATGACACACAGAAAAATATACATGTAATACTATATGTTTGTTTTATGACGCCTGTCCCTTTCAATTTTGTTTAATACCTAAAATAAATGT